TTGGAGGCACAAAATAACCTAGGATCATGTGCCAAAGTTGTATTTATAGCTTGTTTAAACTTAATCGCACTGTATTAGCTTTGATTGGTAAGCTTAGCATTTTAATCCCAAACTCAGAATTCTTAACCTACTCCATTTTACACGAATTAACATATTTTTCTTATATTTTTCGGAGCACCTTTCCGGTACGCGCTTTTCATAGCCAGTACCAGTTTCTGGCACCAGTTCTGATTATTTTAACTTAAAACTCGTTTTACAAGTCCTACATATTATTCTAGCAGAACCGGTATCTGCACTTTTCGTCAGAAAAGCGACTTTCAGCATTATTACTCAATTACTATAATTATTAGAGCCTCATAATAATTATTAGGGTTAATTATGGAATTATCTCATTAAACTCATAATTAATTGATTAATTTCCTTAATTAACGGTGCGGGTTCTTACATGTTTCACATGTCTCAGCTTCGTAAGTACATAGCAGATCCTTCGCACGTGGTGCAACCGGATGATGTGGAAGTTCGGGAGAACTTGAAAACTCCCGTCGGATCACTTAAGATTCTCGATCGTGGCGAGAAGCAGCTGAGGAGCAAGATCATTCCAATGGTCAAAGTGCAATGGACCGGAAGAACTCTTGAGGAGTGCACTTGGGAACGAGAGGAAGAGCTTCTCCGGCAGTATCTCAACTTCCGAGACATATATGTTTCTGATTTTGAGGACAAAATTCTTAAAAAGGTGGGGAGAATGTAAGGACTCACACCGTTAATTAAGGAAATTAATTAAATAAATATGAGAAATAGGAAATAATTCCATAATTGATCCTAATAATTATGATAAGGCTTAAATAATATTGGTAAGTGATTAATAATGCTGAAAGTCGCTTTTCTGGTGAAAAGTGCAGATACCGGTTCTGCTCTCGGTATAAATGCGTACCGATGAAGTATCCCGGAAAATTATAATAAGTGTATGAATATTCCTAGAATATTATATAGGACTTGTAAAACAAGTTTCAAGTTAAAATAATGAGAACTGGTGCCAGAACTGATACTGGCTATGGAAAAGCGTGTACCGGAAAGGTGCTGCGAAAAATAAAAGAAAAATATGAAAAATCTTAGAAAAATGAGTAGATTCAGAATCCTAAGTTTGGGATTAAAATTTTAAGCGTAGCTATTAGTGCTAATACTGTGTGTTTTAACTTAAACCGCCTATATATACTCATTTTTGCACAAAACCCTAGGCTTATTTTAGTTGTTGCGTGAACCTTGGAGGCTGACCAACTCCTCTTACTGTTCCATATTCTTCCCTTCTCCATTTCTTGAGCCAAGGAGCCATTTTCTTCATGAAATCTTCTCCTAAACACTTGGTGTGAGTGAGAGTTACCATTGAGAGTGTGTTGCTGACCTTGTTGCTGAGTTTGAGTGTCTGTTTTGAGGGGTTTAGAGGGCTGTGTTCTTGAGCTTTGTTGAGGGAGCTCTTATTCTAGTATTGTGAGCTCCAAGGAGTGATCTTTGGTGTGAAAGAACCTCTCTTGATCATCATTTTCGTGGGTTCGGTCTATCTGGACGTTGGGAGCAGCAAGTGAGCTCCAATAACACTTGTGGTTCTGTTTTGAAGCCTTTGGGTAAGCACCATCACTTTGATCACGAGTTTTAATGGATAAAAGAGATGTCTTGGCATGTAAAATGGTAGGGTTAATTAGTTAACATGATCACTGAACCTAAAAGCCTATAAAAATGCATGCTTGGACGTATTAATGGGTTAAAAACCCAACCTTGAAGTGATATCTTTGCGAAAATGCAGAACTGCATTCTGTCGCAAAATATCCGGATATTGGTATCCGGATATGGATATCCGGATATGGGTCTTGAGATATCCGAATATGGATATCCAGATATGGACCCGACAAATATTCAAATTTTCTGGGTTTTCGAGAACAGTAACTGTACTGTTCATACAGAATTGAGTTATGGGTTTGTGGACCCTAGATTGATGAAGTGGGACGTCTGTTATAATTAAACTAAGTCAGAATCAAGTGATTAAGGGCTTGTGGCTTTGTGAGAAGCCTTAAGACATGAAACGTAAAAGAGAAGCGTTGTCTTTAAGTATATGTTTATGAGCTATGGTTGTTGATATGATTGCTGATCCAAAATAGATTGTGATTCTGCTGTGTTTGGGCTTTGAGCTTGGTTGGACTTTTGGCTTGGATAGCTAGCTTGTAAGGTAAGCTTTCGTATCCTCGATTTAGCCATTGTTTGTTCCACCATATCCCATGGGGGGATGGTTTATATGCATGATGTGTTTTCATGTACTGTTTTATTGAAATGCTATTGAGCCGTTAAGTGCAAATGCTTATGATATGTATGTGGTGTTTCGCCTAGACAAGAAGCCATGGGGTGGTCTTGTGGGCGGGTACAACATGGGCGTGTACTGTGTGGGTAATAGACATATTCTTGCACTTCTCTGATCAGTAGAATAGTTATAACACACATGACATGATTATCTGCTGCATCGCACTGGTTTGGGAAATGATATTGAATTACTGCTTTTAGAACTTATATTGCACATGTAAGTGAGCTTAGGGTGGAAGATCCTTGAGGACCCCTTGTCTTACTGAGATTTCTATTTAGAGATCTCACCCCACGTTTGGGGCACATATTTCAGGTTCAGGTAATGCGGGGGTTGAGACCTCTAGCGGCAGTAGGCCAGAGCTTAGCTGATTTATATGCTGTTATGCTGCTTATGTTGGATGCTGGATTATGACTGTTGCTATTTTTCTGCTAGCTTTATTAGTATGTTGTTGTTGTTGAGACTATGTTGGGTTGTTGCCTTATTTGGTGAGCATGGGGATTGTCCATACCACATGGATTGACTATGTCCTGTTTTATATTCGAGTCGTAATAATGTATCAGGATTATGTCCGGGCTACATGTTGTGGTTCCGTGATTTTAGATACTCACTTATTTATGATATGAGGTTATTCAGTATAGATATATGTCTTTTGCATTTACATACAGGCAATGTTTTGGAAATGAATTAAGTAATTCAACTTGGTAATGATAATGACGTCATAATTGAAAAGAAAAAGAATATTTCGCATATTTAATTAAGCGTGGCTTAATACAGTGGCATGTTAACAAACCGGATATACACAGGATGTTACAGCAGTAGCTGAGTATTCAGAATAACTCACGTAGGTAGCCATAATATGGCCTAATTTGGTACTACTTAGAGTTGTATAGTAATCTGTAGGCTGAAGGAAGCAAGCACTGCCCAAACTAGACAAGTGCAGGGGCTGTTTCGGGTCCCTGTTTTCAAAAAATCATATCTCGCTCAATTCTTACATAAATTAGACATGTGATATACTAAATTGAAGATAAAAGTGTCTAGTATTCTGTATAAAAATTTGAGATCATTTGGTTGAGTAAATCGTTGGGAGTCGCAGAAATGGTGAGGGATATTTGGTGCTCTATTTGGAGTTGGTTGACAGTTTTGCTTGTCCAACTGCAAATGGTAATAACCAGAGCTAGAGAACTCCAAATGAGGCGTGTGATACCTTGTTGGAAAGGTAAAAGAGTCTAGTTTAACATAATAAAAGATGAGAAATTAATAAGAAGTGTGTCACGCCCAGTAGTGAGAAAACAGAAGCGTGTTCAGTGTTAGGAAAATTGTAAAAGTGAGATTTGTGCTAAGTGGATTTACGGGAACCTCTTAGTAACTTAAAATAAAGATTATATGATAGTTAAGAAAATATATTATTACTTCCACGTTTAGTTTTCAGTTGCGATCACAGTTTGTATCATTACGTATTATGATTGTTTTAAATATTGTACGTAATAAAGAGGAGAAGGCTTACTCGTATTTTTAAATAAACTACTGTGTGATTGTAAATATGCTTAATATTAATCAATATTAACAATGTCGGTGTATAACGGGATGTTACTAGGAGGCTTAGGGGCCTGATGCACATCCTTTTTTTCTGCCTGATACATCACCGAGGAAACATCTTGCCTCCTCTGAGTTTGGATTGAAGGGAACTCATCTTTGTTAATCATTTTTTGTTCTGCCATATCAACCTTCTGATAGATATTGGTGCTTGTTTCTTTCAACTGGTTTGCTGGAGTTTGATTTCGCAACTACCAACAATTGGCTTTGCGGATGACTTCACCAGAACCCCCAATTAGTTTGGAACCAAAACTAGTCTCTAGCATGTGGATTTCTATCTTTGATTTCTTCTTTCCATCTTTTCCTACTACTACTTTTTAGGAATTTTGTTTTTTTCTGCATTGGGCTCTCATTTCCTGATTAAAGCATCACCCCCTTTTGGGTTTCTCATTCCTTGATCATTAGTGACATTCTCCAGCATAGCAAATATTCCCTTTTTGCGTAGAGTCATTATTTGGAGGAAATATTCTCAAAGTATCCTATATTTTTTCCCAAATTTCAAAAAAAATAATAGTTTTAAGTTGGAGGAAATAATTTTATCTCCAATAAAAAAAAAAACATGATAAAATTAGTAAAGCTTACTCTAAGTTTTTGTAATTAACGACATCATACTTTTCCAAGAAAACTAGATCCTCTAGTTTCAGGGGGCGAAATCAATGTTTTTGGTACATTCTAAACTCGAAAAGTAAGCCGCATACAGATACAACAATTAGCATTTAATGTATGTAAATCAAAACACTCAACTCGAACCAAGCTGCTGCACTTGAAAAGTAAGCATGGAAGTACCCTAGAAGGGTCATTTCGTGGACTTATGGTCCCCAATACCATCCTCACAAGTCAAGTTGAGATTTGACAACAAACCAAAACGACAAAAAAAAAGAGACGTAATATTACATCTAACGCCAATTATTGATAGCAACCAAATGATGCTTCCTCTCTCCATCTTGGAATCTTTCTTGAAACCCACCTCTTATTTTTTTAATTTTTTTTTACTAATTTTTTCTTCCATCATATTTATACACCACTCACTCCCTTATTTTCCACACAACCAATTCCTCACTTTCCCAATTTAGCATCCCTCTAAGAAAGAAGCACCTTAATTAGAAATATGCAAAACTTTGAACCCAGCTTCAATCTTTGCTCCTCAAACATCATCAGCACCACCAGTGATATTAGTATCAATGATTACTTGCTACCCCATGAATTTCCCATCAACAATAATATCATACCAAACCATAATTCTTCTTATTCTAGCCATACCCATCTTCAAGTGACTCAACCCTCTTTCCCTAAGCCTCCAAGATCGACCTCAAATCTAAGCAACCGCAAACCCTCCTTAAACATCACAATCCCTTCCATAACCTCAGATCTCAAAGCAATCTCACAACACAATATGGAAAAAACAAGTGTTTACAAACAGAGTTCTTCTTCTTCTTCAGATCACAATGACAACAAAGAGAATGATAAGCATTATAGAGGTGTTAGAAGGCGACCATGGGGAAAGTTTGCTTCAGAGATACGTGACCCCAATAGAAAAGGCTCAAGGGTATGGCTTGGAACCTTTGACACAGCCATAGAAGCTGCTAAAGCTTATGACAGAGCTGCTTTCAAGATGAGAGGAAGCAAAGCTATATTGAACTTCCCTCTTGAGGTTGAGGATTTTGCAGAGGTTGGTGAGAAGAGGAGAAGAAATGAAGAGAGTGAAGGGAACTATGTGGAGAGTAATAAGCATGTGAAGAAAGAAGAGTGCTCTTCCAATGGAGTTTCTGCTTCAACTCTTTGCCCTTTGACACCTTCATGTTGGAAAGGCTTTTGGGACACTGATGTTACAGGAACTATCTTTAGTGTACCACCTTTGTCCCCTTTATCTCCACTCATGGTCGTTTGAGATTATGGCCATCTGTTCTTTCGAAAGATCAAAGATGTGAGTGCTAATTATCCACACTACGCATCAGCAACTATCAATTACACATAAATAGAAAAATACAGAAAAGGTTGGTTTGTCTCTTATCAAAATAGTAGTACTGATAGCATATTGGTTTGTGTGATGTAAATATAGGAGAGTATGAAGCTAGATTTTCTTTTTTATGCCAATTTCTTATCTTATTCTTTTATTTAAGTTCATTTGGTCAAAGAATGTACTATCTACCGTGTATACTTGAATCAATAGTGAAATTTGTTTATTCATTTATTGGAGAAAACATGTTGCTCATAAGAATTGCCACCATTGAAAGTTGTGATTAATTGTTTATTTTAAAATGGTCGGGTAACATTATTCATTGGATTTAATTTTCACTCAATTTTAAAAATAAAAAAAATATTTTGGTTATTTATAAAAATAGGGTGAAGTTTTATATGTATAAAAAGTTATTTATGTAACGATATCTTTTTTTTACAGTTACAAAGAGTTGCTAAAAATTAAATTAAACTTAAAAGGAGGGATACAACCTTTAGATTTATTTGAGTACTAACTAGATTATTATCACATATAATAGTATGCTAAGATGAGCTTTTTATTTACAAAAAATAGTCCTGAAGACACAGGAGGGGAAAATGATATGCTAAAGTTTACAAAAATATATATATACTCGATAAAATTCAAACTTTAGTTTATTGATTTACAGTAATTGTGTTACATTAATACTTTTATATATATATATATATATATATATATATATATATATACTTATAGAAAAGTAAGATAAGCTTACCTACAGCTACTCCTTTTTAACTAAGTATGACCGGTCATACTTAGTTATAACAATAAAGCTGTTCTTTTTTTGTCTCTCTTCAGACACTGTCGGCTGACGTGGCGGAGAGAGAAAATGCAATTTTAGAGTATGACTATTGGAATGGTACGGGGGAGCCCAAAATTCATTGCAAGGAATATATCCATGGGCCAAGCGATAAACCACAATAAGTGAGTCGACACCACATCTCAACCCGAAAACCCAAAACCTTAAGGCTATAGGTTTATGGGTCTTTTGCACTTATATAGTCATCATCTGGTCTATGTCTAGTCGATGTGGTACTTCTTTACAACTCATACTTGAATACTTCCAACATCTTCCTCTCAAGTGTGAGACCCAACATTATGCTCCCCCTTAAGGGCAACTTCTGTGGAAGTCTTTTTTTCTTTAACTATTGAAGTCACACTAGCCTTCTGCGGAGGCCTTGAAACATCATCATCTCTAAATACTCAGCCCAGCCAAACCTTCGGCTTTAATACCACTGTTGGGTCGTGCACGGGAGTTCATGGCGGCAAGAGACTGCTAACCATGGGCCAAGTGAGTAGCAACATTAAGTGGGCTCGAAACACCACAATTGTAACACCCCGTTCTAGAACCGGATTGTTATCATTACGTACGGCATTAAGCGCAGTTACAATCACATTGGTTCAATTAGAAAACTGGATAAATTTTTCCTTTTTAAACAAGCCGGATTTAAAATAACCAAGTGTGTGATCATAACCATATATGCTTCGTGGAATAGTGGGACTAAACAATATTATAATCCCATTTTATTTGACAATACGTCGTTAAATGTCTTCATCTCTTTAATTATCAAATTAATTCTACACTCCTTTTATGATTCCCATCTTCTAATATGTTATAGGATTTTTCATTAGCTACGTGTAGGTTCAAACCGCGCTCAAATCGAAGCACTGTAGCCAAAGTTATGCATTTTCTAAGAAAGGGATGCAAAATCTCCAGGACCCCCACGCCCCTAGCGTGGGATCCACGCCCATAGCGTGGGCAAACAGAAGGTTGGCGCCCCCAGCGTGGGAGTGGCGCCCCAAGCGTGGGTACTACTGTCCCGTCTTGCCAATTGGCGCCCTCAACGTGGGTTTTGGCGCCCCAAGCGCCACCCACAGGGCTGGATGCCCAAAAAAAATGATTTGACCTATCTATGATGTTTACCCCATAACTTGAGCTACACTCACTCAAATTACACCATTTTGGTCTCTATGGAAAGCTAAGAGAAATGTCTACAACTTCCATATTGACATCAAGGTCCAATTCCATGATATAGGGTATGAAAATTGGTCAACCGGACAGGATAGCTTTGTTTTTACATGGATTATCAACCTAATTGACAACATATAATTTTCCAATAAATAACTCTTAGTTCTTGCAAGATTCTTTCACTCCAAAATAACATGCATACATATGTCTTCTTCACTTACACTATTACAACACATCTTAATTACAGAATAATGAGACTTAGCTTCAAAATACTATGATCATCACCTTGGTTCCAAACAACAAAGAGATACCACAAGAAATGAGCATAGGCTAAGTCCATCCAATAAAGCAGGATATATGTAACACCCCGTATATATCTGGTAATGTTATCATAATATCGTATTAAGCTGCGCTTAATTAAAATGCAGAATTACTTTTTCTTTTCAATTATGATGCCATTAACATTACCAACTTGCTTAATAATCAATTAATAAAACATCGCCTGTATGTAATTGCAATAAAACAGCTAACTGAAATACCTCATAACATAGATAATATAAGTGTGGCTCTAGTCACGGAACTACAACAACGTAGACCGGACCCTCTAACAGTTTATACAACTCCAAACTACAAGTACTAACAGAAAGTGTCATGGACAATCTCCATGTTCACTCAAATAAGGCAACATGCCCAACATCAGTCTCAATAACATCATATCATAAATAGCGGAAAACATAAACAGCATCCAAATCCAGTCATGCTAACAAATAAGCAGAAACAACAAAATCAGCTAAGCTCCGGCCTTCCGCCGCCTGAGGCATCAACACCCATACTACCTGATCCTGAAATAAGCATTCCCCAAACGTGGGGTAAGATCTCTAATCTAGAAATCTCAGTAAGTCAGTGAGTCCTCAAGGATCTTCCACCCCAAGCTCACTTACATGTGCAATATAAGTTCAAAAGCAGTTTATCATTTATCATTTCAAAAACAACGCAATGCAGCAGATAATCATGTCATGTGTGTCAATACTAATCTACTGGCCAGAGACAGTGCAGGTATACGTCTATCACCTACACACCGTGCAAGTACCACTTGCATTCACCCCGGTACACCATCTTGTATGGCGCTACATACTCAGGTTTCCCGTCAAGATGAAACAACACATGCATATTAAAAGCCATTACATGTAAAGTTCAATCAACATATCAAATATCTAAAAGCATGTACACAACATGCATAAACCATACCCCCATGGGACATGGTGGAACCATAACATGGCTAAACCGAGGACACGAAAGCTTACCTTGCAAGCTAACTCCAAAAGCCAAGAGTCCACAACTCAAAGTCCAAACACAGCAGATTCACAATCTATTATGGACCAATACTATATTAATAATAATGCAACACAAGCATATAACTTAAAGACAATGCCTTTCCTTACGTTTTACGTCTTAAGGCTCCATACCAAGCCATAAGTCCTTAATCACTTAATTCTGACTTAGTTCATTAATTACAGAAGTTCAACTTCATCAATCTAGGGTCCACAAACCCCCAATAGCCTACTGTACACACAGCACAGCTGCTGTCCTACGAAATCCCAGAATATCCGGATATTCCTCGGGACCATATCCGGATATGCAATATCCGGATATCTCACTGGACGTATCCGGATATGCAATATCCGGATATCAAGAATCCCAGATCCGGATATCTATTATCCGGATATCACATATCCATATATTCATCGGGCACATATCCGGATATTTCACGACAGAATGCAGAAAATGCATTTCGTGAAGATATCCTTCCAAGGTTGGATTTTTACCGATTGAAACTCGTTTTACAAGTCCTACATATTATTCTAGTAATTATCATGCACTTACATTAATTTTCCGGGATACTTTTTCGGCACGCATTTATACTGACTAGCATAACCGGTACCTGGACTTTTCTTCCGAAAAGCGACTTTCAGCATTATTATTCACTCACTATAATTATTAAAGCCTCGTAATAATTATTAGGGTCAATTATGGAATCATTTCCTATTTTCTCATAATTTATTAATTAAATACCTTAATTAACGGTGCGGGTTCTTACATTCACCCCACCTTTTTAGGATTTTGACCTCAAAATCAGAAACATACCTGGTCGAAACTCGGGGTACTGCCGGAGAAGCTCGTCCTCACGCTCCCAAGTACACTCCTCAGGAGTCCTTCCGGTCCACTGCACCTTGACCATCGGAATGATCTTGCTCCTCAGCTGCTTCTCGCCACGATCGAGAATCTTTAGTGGACCTACGGGAGTCTTTAAGTTCTCCCGAACTTCCACATCATCCGGCTGCACCACGTGCAAAGGATCTGCTATGTACCTCCGAAGCTGAGACACGTGAAACACGTCGTGGATGTTGGCCAGGTTCGGAGGCAAGGCAAGCCGGTAGGCAACAGGTCCTACTCTACCAAGAATCTGGTATGGCCCAATAAAGCGCGGGCTCAGCTTCCTCACTCCGAGTGCCCGTCCAATACCGGTGACAGGTGAAAGTCTCACAAACACGTGCTCACCCTCACTGAACTCCAGTGGACGATGCTTGACATCATAGTAGCTCTTTTGACGATTCTGCGCCTGCTTCAGCTTTTCCCTGATCATCTGGATCTGCAGGGTGGTATCTTGGACAAAATCCAAGCCAAACAACTCACGATCCCCAACCTCCGACCAGCAGGTAGGTGTATGACACCTCCTACCGTAGAGCGCCTTGTAGGGTGCCATGCCCAGGCTAGCATGGAAACTGTTGTTATACGAAAACTCCACCAATGGAAGGTACTTATCCCATGCCGAGCCCTGCTCCAACGTGCAAGCCCGCAACATGTCCTCCAAGGTCTGGATAGTCCGCTCAGTCTGTCCATCAGTCTGAGGGTGATAGGCAGTACTCAATCTCAACTGTGTACCAAAATCTCCCTGCAACGCCTCCCAGAACCGAGATGTGAACTTCGGGTCCCTATCACTGATGATACTCACGGGCACCCCGTGAAGTCTCACAATCTCGCGAACGTACAGTCTGGCCAACTGCTCTGTAGTGAAGCTCACCTTCACTGGAAGAAAATGGGCAGACTTCGTCAGTCTGTCCACAATGACCCATATCGAGTCATAGCCAACCTGAGTCTTCGGCAAACCCACAACGAAGTCCATGGAAATGCTC